CCCAGGCGCCGCCCAAGAAGCGGCCGCGCGGCGGCGGGGGCGCCCCCAAAAAAAAGCGGCGGCGGCGGCGGCGGCGGCGGCGGCGCCCGCAAAAGGGGCGGCGGCAGCGCCACGCTCCCTGCGTCGGCGTCGCTTCTCCTCGGCGCTTGCCGTGCGCTTCTCTGCTCGGGCGGCGGCGGCGTTTGCGGTTGCGGCGCGGAGGCGGAGGCGCTTCTCGGTTCGCTGGTGCGGCGAGGGTGGTGTGGAGCTGCACCCCGGCGCATCTCGGCCGCATCTGCGCGAGCTCTCTCGGGTAGGTGCGGCTGTGGGAGGAGGCGCCGCCCTCGTCGCCCATCCGCGCGCCGCTGCTGAGTCTGTGTTGCGAGGCGCTGCTCCCGCCGCTCGATCCTGTCGACCACCGCCACAGCGCCACCGCCGGCACGCCGCAGATCGCCGCGGCGGGTCCGCCGCCGCCGCCGCCGAGGCTGCTCACGGCGTGGGCGGTGTCGCTGCCCAAGCTGCTCTGGCAGCTTCGCGACACGCCCGCGACACGCCCGCGACACCGCCTCGGGACACGTCCGCGACGCGTCCGCATAGGCAGCTGCACGACACTGCGCCGCCGCTCAGCGGCGCGATGATCGACGCTCTCCGCCGGCTCGGCAGCGGCGGCGGCGGCGGCGGCGAGCTGCTCCAGTCGTTGCAGCCGGCGCTGGAGCCATTCTTTTGCGCGCGAGGCCGGCACGGCGGCGCCCCCATCTTTGGGCCATTCCTGGCGCTGCCGCGCGCGCAGCGGCAGGCGGCGCTGCACCTTGTGCTCGGCTTGCGGCCGATCTCCCGCGGCTTGCTCTGCGCGCTCGCGCGCTGCGCCCTCGCTGACGCGCGGCCGCCCCGCTCGGGCGACGTGGCGGTCGAGCTCGTGCGCGCCGTCGAGGCGGGAGGCTGGAGCGGCGCGGTCGACGCGCAGGCGCAGGCGTCTTTCTATGCCACGCTGCTGGCCGAGGCGGGCGGCGCGGGCGCGCAGCCTCCCGGTGCAGAAGCCGTGCGCAACGCTGCGCTGGGCGCGTTGCGGCGGGCGGAGGTGGATCAGGGTGCCGCGTTCGTCTTGCCAGCGGCCAGGTGAGAGTGTGGGAGTAAGACCTTGCGCGGGGGGGGGGGGGGGGGGGGGGGG